AGATATCTGGGAAAAGTCCGGTAACGTTCTCTGCCTGCGACTATGTAGGTCATGCAGGAGGCAGGGAGGAATTGTGGTTGGTCACATTGTTCAGGGTGGAGTTGGCATTTTGTTTCTATCGGCCTATCTTCCCAAGTACCTAGGATAGGCAAATAGCAATAGATTTATATACCACTTTTCAGGGCTTTAAAGCAGCTTACAGAGTGAGCTTATTGCCCCCATAAACAGTCTGGGTCCTTAGGGAATAGGGCGGCATATAAATAAAATAAAACTTAAACTTAGCATAAAGCAAGATCCCCTTCTCTCCAGCTACAGAGTCTGCACAACGCTGTGCTTTTGCAACCTGGTTTTTATTTGTATTTCTTTTGGAGGGCTGGAAGGGAATATTAGTGGAGGCAGTGAAGCTTTCAGCCTCTCCCAGACAGAAAATGTCTACAGAGGGATGAGGCCCCCCCTTGAGAGTCTGGGCCAAAACGAGGAGGAGGTGTCTCTCCGGAGACTCCGGAGGTGTCTCTTCGCTAGGGGTGACGTGATAGCAGTCTTCCAATATCTCCGGGGCTGCCCCAGTCCCACCCCACTCCCCTCCCTCCCTCCCTCTCAGCCATTATGACCACACAGCTATCCCAAGCAGGCGGAGAGTTCTACAGGTGGTGAGCTGCTCCAACTGAAAATATCAGTGATGGTAAAAGAAGGGAAGGATCCTTCCCTATTTCCAACTTTCGGGCTCTCCCGGCAGGTGGCCGATGCGGCCTTCGCTAGCCTTTTCGTAGGGTGGCGCCGATCTTCTTCCCCCACCCCCTCCCGCTGGCTTCGTCCCGATCTCTTCCTCCTCCTTGCCAGGCGGTACTGTCTGCGTCATCTAAAGGTGCGCTCCTCCTTCTCTTCCTTCCTTCCTTCCCTCTCTCCTTTCTTTCCCTCCCTCCAGATTTGCTGGATGCCAAGATGGCAGCTTCGAACTTGGAGAACCAGCTGCACAGTGCCCAGAAGAATTTGCTTTTCCTACAGAGGCAGCACGCGGATACCCTCAAGGGGCTCCACACCGAGATCCGCCGCCTGCAGCAACACTGCACAGGTAACGGGAGGAGTAGGGAAGCGGGCTTGGGGACAGGGTCCCTCCCACGCAGAGGTAGTCCTCCACTTACAGCCGCAGTCGAGTTTGTTTCTGTGGCTAAATGAGACATTGGTTCAGCGGGTTTGTTTCGTCCCCGTGTTACGATCTTTCTGGCCGCCGTGGGTAAGGCNACTCCCTCTTCTTTGTGTCAACCCCTGAGATATTGGAACACCCTGGGATGTTCCCCATCCCAGTCCTCCTTTTCTCTAAAGCAGCCATACCCAGTTCCTCCGACCGTCCTTCTTACATTTTTTGCGTCCGGGCGCTGCTCCTGTCTGCACTTTTTCCAACGTCTCAACCTCTTTTCTTTGTAACACAGGGACCAAAACTGGATGCCGTTATTCCAGGCGTGGCCTGAGTTAAGACTTTCTAAAGCGATACTAACACTTTGATTCTGGGCCTCTGTTTTTACGCAATCAAGCAAGGATCGTGTTTGCTTTTTCAGGCGGCGGCTGACTGCATTTTTTTGGAGTATAAGACGCACCTTTTCCCCCCTCAAAAAAGAGGCCGAAAATCTGGGTGTGTCTTATACACTAAATGCAGCATTTTTTTGCCTCCTGAAACCCCCACCCCCCCTCCCTTCGCAACAATGGCTCTGCAGAGCCTTTAGGAGGCTTCCGGAGTACTCCTGGGGGGCTGGGAAGGCCAGAAATGAACGAAAAATGGGTCATTTTTTCCCCTCAATTTTGCCCCCCCCTCCCCAGCCCCTAGGAGCACTCTGCAAGCCTCCTAAAGACTTATTCATGCCCTTTTTTGGGGGAAAAAAGGGGGGGATTTTTGCAAAAAACGGGCCGTTTTTGGGAGGTCTGCAGAGTGCAAAACCTTTTTTTTTTTTAAATTGCCTCTTCAAAATCTTGGTGCGGCTTATACTGCGAAAAAGACGGCAATTCTTAAACCCAAACTCGGTCGATTCTGTAGCGTTCGTCCAGGTCTCCTGATGATGGGGGGGGGGCACCATTTGTGTGGGCGGGGCAGCGATCAATGTTTATGGCTTTTTCCCCCCTGCAAACTCTGGGCTTTTTGCAAAGAGAACTCAATGTCTTTCCTGCACCCTTCCAAATTGGCCTCGGACGGAGAGAGGGAAAGCTGAACGTAGAAAGGTCAGCATCGACCCACATTAAATCCCCACAAGGTTCATTCGTTAACTCTTTGCGGGCGTGGAGAGAAGGGGAGCAGCATGTCCTGGAAACGTTGCCGAGATAATGGATGAAGTCACCGCTCTGCCAAGGAGCCTTTTTATATCCTTCGCCCGGGAATCAATCTTCGAAATTGAGATCATACGACTCGCATAAAGCGTACCTGAACCGGGAGGCACTCGCAACAGTCACTCACGCCCTCGTGACCTCAAGACTGGACTACNCGGGAGCTGGGATTTGTGAGAATGCCGGTGTAAAGGGGGTGAGTTTGTCAATGGGCTGCTTTTTAGGGTGCTTTTAATTCTTATTTTTATTTTATTTTAGCGGAAAGTCTGCGTCTTTCGGAGCCGATCGGATCAGTGGAGCGGGGGTGGTGGTGTCTTGGGATCCAAATTTACTCGGAAAACTTGTGATGGTAGTTTTGGGGAGTCTTGGTGGCTGTTGGTTCTCCTTTGGGGGGGGAAAGTAGGCAGCCGTGCCTTGTGTAAAGTTAGGGTACCCCAAAAACATGAAATATATCAACTCTCTATTCAGCCTGGAAGTTTTTTTTGTAAATGAATCCTCTCCCAGCATCATACTGCTTTTCGAATGCATCGTTTGAACCTCTCTCTTCTCCAAGGCTTTTTACCCTTTTTAGCCGAACGGGAATATTAGGGCTACGAAATGCTGAATGGTAGCAGTTGTGAGTCCCCACAATTGGCTGAATCTTTTGTCACGTTGTAAAGGACATAAAATTGCACCGCGGCAAGAATAAAACACTCGGATTTTCTCTCTATAGGAAGCTCTTTTTTCTCTACAATTAGGAGGGAGGACGAAGCAAACTTCCAGAAAGTTAGACGGCGCCGTTAAAGGAGGACGTTTGTGGCAGAAGCCGGTCTCCAGTAATGTCAGTGAACTTTGCGCCACCTTTAAAGCCGGTTTTATCGTATTTAATTGGATTAAGCCGGGTGGTGTCGCCACTTGTTTGTGTGGGGCAAGTAATATTTCCGCGAGTAATTAAAAACAGCGAGGGGGCACCCATCACGCAAGGCTGGTGGGTGGGGTGGGGCACTGCCCGGCCATACGAAGCGCCAAGCCGGTGTATTTTAGGCCTGTGGTTTGGATTCGAATCTGTGGCTCTCAATTTAGGATCTCGGTAAAAGGGGAACTTCTCTTCCCGTGTGAGCTGGAGGCTAAACTTTGCTCTCTTCCTTCTGCTTCGAGAGGTTTGGTCTCTTAACTGCAATGCACAGTCAAAAGAATTATTATTATTATTATTATTATTATTATTATTATTATTATTATTATTATTATTATTATTATTATTATTTTGCAGCTGGTGTCTTTGCTAAGCATCGTATCTCTCAGCTTTCCAAGGCTCAGCGATCGTGCATCGCAAATCTATTTCCATCATCCCGTTTGCTGGCTGTTCTTTGGTTTCTAAAAGCTGCCCGTCCCGGGTCAGTGGCGGTTCTGGAAAACTGGGTGGGGTCCAACAGTCTTAACAAGCAGCATTTGGACATCTGGACTCTCAGCCACACTTCCCTGTTCTTGCTTAACTCGACTTGTTGATTCGTTTGTACATGGCGATCGTGAAAACACCCTTAAAAAGGAGCGTCTTTCTCTCCGTTGGGCCATTGAGTTTGCAGCTGTGTCTCTCCAAAAGCTGGAATTGATGGGGGAAAAACTCCCTGTCTTTTTTTGGGGGGGGTGGGGGGGGGATCGGGAAGGGGATTTTTTAAACACTTCCAAAGAGAAAGTCCCTGTTCCCACCGTTGCGGGTTTTTGCAAGGACGGAGGAGGAGGGGAAATCGAATGAACGGACCGAGGGAGGATTCTGCTGAATAGCCCAGTCGGTTGGCCTCTGCCAAAATCTTGCCTGCACTATGCTGTAAGTCGGTGGCAAATTGCCACACCGCCGCCGTGTCTGGGAGCTTGGGAGTGGCGGCCCACTGGGACGGGTAGTAGGGATTTTCCGTATTTCCAGAAAGCGTTTGTGTGTGTGTGTGGGGGGGGGTAAAAGCAGGGGAGGTTAGCTCATCCTTTTGTCCGTGCGTGCGACCACCACGATGTCCTCCGAATTGTTCTCCCTTTCACCGGTGGTGGTGGTGGGGAGGGAGGGGCTGGCTAAAAATAACTCTGCAGAGCCATTAAAGGTCCAGACGACATCCGCAGGTCGCCTGGGAGGGAACCAGGGCAGTCTGTCTGGAAAATTAGGACGGGCGAAGGGGACGAGGGTGGGATGGGACCAAGCCTTCGCATTTGAAAAGGAAGAAGGGGGGGAAGAGAGCCGGAACTTCGAGACTTCTTCGCATCCTCGTGACTGTCTGATCTCTCTTTCTCTCTTGTCTATCTGGAGGCTGGCCACCCCCATTTGCCCGACGACTTTTAACTTGGTTAACTTGAGTTTGTCCATTTCTCTGGATCTGCCACAATTCAGGGACAGTGGCAGGGGCTGGAAGGGAGCTTGGAGGTCATCTAGTCCAACCCCACTGCTCTTGTGCAGGAGGCCTATGCTGTTCCTTGCCATCAGTCCTTAAAATCCTCCGGTGATGGGGGCACCCGCATCTTCTGGAGGCAAGCCGTTCCGCTGGTTAATTGTTTCAGTTCA